CTCCAGGTTGGTCGTTGGCCAAATCTCCGAAGAATATGAGGCCAAGGAGGGGAGAATGAAACAGTACAAGGAAGCGGCCAAGGAGTTGCTTAAGGTATTTGAGGCACACTCTCTCACTCAAATATCGAGGGCTCAGAACTCCGAGGCCGACATATTATCTAAGCTCTCGGCCGACTCCCCCGAGCACATCTCCAAAATTGCCAAAATCGAGGAACTCAGCCTCTCAAGAATCCATGCAAGCCCCGTTATGAACATACAACAACGTCAGGAGGATTGGATCTCAGATATCACCGCCTTCATCTCCACAGGGCAGCTACCCGAGAATGAGGTCCGCGCTAAACTGGCAAAACTGAGGGCTCCCAGCTACACCATCGAAGATGGAAGGCTCTACAAACGATCTTACAATGGCACGCTACTTCGGTGCCTTCATCCAGATGAAGCCGAGGTCGCAATGGAGGAAGTGCACAGTGGCACTTGCTCAGCTCACCAGGGACCCTTCTCCATGTCCCGAAGGCTCATTCTCCAGGGCTACTTCTGGCCAACCATGGCCAGGGATTGTGCTGACCTTGCCCGGAGGTGCACCGCATGTCAACATTTCCAGAAAGCTCCCGGCAGGCCAGCGGTCAACTATGCCCCCATCAGCACCTCTGTCCCATTTTCTCGATGGGGGATAGACCTTGTGGGCCCTCTGCCGAGGGGTACCTCCAACAACAGATACATCATTGTGGCCGTCGACTATTTTACCAAGTGGGTGAAGGCTGAACCCCTCGCCAGCATCACAGAGGCGAAGTGCCGTCACTTCGTCCTCAAGAACATACTCACAAGGTTTGGCGTCCCCCAGCAGATCATCTCCGACAATGGGACACAATTTGAGGCAGCCCCCTTCTGTGCCCTTCTGGAGGCATGGGGCATCAAACACACCTTCTCCTCCGTTGCCTACCCTCAAGGCAACGGGCAAGTAGAGAACGCCAACCGGACCTTGCTCGAGGGCCTCAAAAAGAAGCTGGAGGCCGAGGGCGGTGGCTTTGTGGAAGAACTCCACAACATCCTTTGGGCCTACCGCACCACCCCTCGGCGAGCAACAGGTGAAACACCCTTCTCCCTCTGCTACAGTTTTGAAGCCAAAGCTCCTACGGAAGTCACCCTTCCCACCCGAAGGGTGATCCAATATGACCCCGAGGTCAACGACAACAACATGGCCCTCGACCTCCACCTCATTTCAGAACGCCGGGAGCAGGCCTTCATCCGGGCGGAAAACTACCGAAAGCAAGTTAAAAGCTACATCGATGCCAAAGTTCGCACCCGAGAATTTCAAGTGGGGGACTATGTCCTCCGGAGGAGGGAAGCCAGCCAACCAACCGAGGGAAGAAAAATGGCACCAAAATTCGAAGGCCCCTACATCATAGCAGCCATCATCAAACCTGGGACCTACAAGCTCAAACGCCCCAACGGGAAAGAAGTCCCTAGGCACTGGAATGTACACCACTTAGTTAAATTTTATCAATAATGTAAGAGCGGCCAAGCCCTCATAACTAGTGAATGTACTATCCTATGGCCCAAGGCCTTCAATTTCGAAGAATGAAGATACATTCAAGACATCAAGCCCTCATACTGACTACAGGCCCCCGGCCTCACCACGAGAAGAACCCCCTCCGGCACCAAGTGCCGAGGGCGGACACCATCAACACCTACAACAACGGTGAAAACCCCACGTGTTTTCGGTCAAGATCCCTCGGTACCAAGTACCGAGGGAGGGAACTCCTATCACCAACAACAAGGAGCACCATGTGTTTCATTTCCCTTCGGCACCCAGTGCCGAGGGTACATTCCCACCTTCAACATCAAAAAAGAAAAAGATGAGAACACCAATTGTTCCTACAGAAGACCCTTCGGCACCCAGTGCCGAGGGTACACCTCCATCATCAAAAATCGAAACGAAGAAAAAACACCAAATGTTTCAAAGAAGACCCCTCGGCACCCAGTGCCAGGGATATGCTCTCCTATCAACTTCCAAGCATCTGTTGGGAAACACCAAGTGTTTCATTTGGAGACCCTTCGGTACCAAGTACCGAGGGTAGACGCCTACATCAACTACTACAAAAGAGAACACCCAGTGTTCCTACAGAAGACCCCTCGGTACCAAGTACCGGGGGCTACACATCGAAACTAACACCAAGTGTTGTTTCTAAAAGCCGTACCCCACGAGGACGCATATACCGAAGGCGCCACCATCGGTGCCGGCGGCACATAGTGCCCCCGGCCATTTGCAACTAGTGTGCAAATGAAAACCCTTCCTTGAAACGCTTTCCGCATCACTACCCCCAGGGTATGACAGGCATGAGAAATGCCCATGATTCGACTTTCAAAAACGGAACGCTATCCGCGTCACTACCCCCAGGGTATGACAGGCATGAGAAATGCCCAGGATTCGACTTCCAAACCGAAACGCTCCCCGCGCCACCACCCCAAGGGTGTGGCAGGCCACAGACTATGTCTAGCGCCGAGGGGATGACTTTCAAAAATGAGGCACTTTCCGCGCCATCCCCCAAGGGGAGGCAGGTTACGGACCACCATATCTTGTGCCCAGGAAACGTCCCTCGATCCCCTCGGAACTCGGAAGGTTAACCCGAGGGAGGAGAGCCATTGGTGTATTCTGATGGTCTCCTAATAGGCCCAGCCTTACCAAGAAACCAAGTTTCTTGATGCCTTCCCTTCACCACCAACCAAAAAAAAGGGGGGGTGAAGGGGAGTAGACTCAGCGAGAAATCAAAGAGTACACTCCAACAGATCACAACAAGCCGAGGGCTCCCCACGGGAACACCTCCGGTAACTGAAGGCTCCTATTTCCCGAAGGATACTACTCGAACAAATAGCATCGAGAAACGGCTAAGTCCACTGCCTGGTCACCTCCGGTCACACAAACACCGAAGGCTTCAACAATACAAAGGGACTGGACTATCCAAAGTACACTAAGACGGTACCTTCAAACATATACCGAAGGCATCTGTTACGCGCTAGTACCGAGGGCCCTTTCCCCATGACAAGGGTCAACTTCTACGACTTTTAAAGTGTATGCCGAGGGCACACACTCCTCATTGGCTTTCTTCACGGCAACAGGATTCAACATCAATTTATGCTTAGAAAAAATTCTAAGTCCTGAATGAGCAGCCCCGGGCATCTCGCAAAGTAATGTAGAGTCAGAGGGCACCTATCACCCGAAGGCTACACAAGGAAGCAGCACTTGAAAAAATTCTATGTCCTAAAGATGGGCCCCCGGCTCAATCAGTACTGCAGCTAGAGGAATATGACAGTTGAAGGCCATACATCAAGAAGGGATGCCATCTCCCGAAGGCTCCCAAGGGAAAATCTACACTTAGAATATTTTCTAAGTCCTACATGTTTTTCCCCCGGTCAACTACTCATACATCAAGAAGGGATGCCATCTCCCGAAGGCTCCCAAGGGAAAATCCACACTTAGAATATTTTCTAAGTCCTACATGTTTTTCACCGGTCAACTACTCATACATCAAGAAGGGATGCCATCTCCCGAAGGCTCCCAAGGGAAAATCCACACTTAGAATATTTTCTAAGTCCTACATGTTTTTCCCCGGTCAACTACTCATACATCAAGGAGGGATGCCATCTCCCGAAGGCTCCCAAGGGAAAATTTACACTTAGAATATTTTCTAAGTCCTGCATATTCCCCCCCCCCCCCCCGGTCAGCTACTCGTACATCATGGAGGGACGCCATCTCCCGAAGGCTCCCAAGGGAAACTCTACACTTAGAAGATTTTCTAAGTCCTACATATTTCACCCTAATCTCAAGGGACCTAATCGCCGAAGGCTGCCTATCAATCGAAGGCTACAGTACACAAGGAATCAACACTCAAGAAAATTTCCTAAGTCCTAAAGAATTGGCCCCCGGCCTACTCAATATTTCAGTTGAGGCTCCACAGTAGCCGAAGGCTACGTGACGTACTACATTTGCAAAAAAATTCTAAGTCCTGTACATTGGGCCCTCGGTCCAACAATCACACATCAAGAAGGGATGCCATATCCCGAAGGCTCTCAAGGGGAAATCTACACTTAGAAATTTTTCTAAGTCCTAGGATTTGGGTTACTACAGACGCCCGAAGGCCTCATGCTGTGCTACACTTAGGAAAAATTTCTAAGTCCTAATTGCTGCTGAACCCTCGGTTGCATATCCAGCAAAGGGTGCCCAACTACCGAAGGCTTCCAGGGGCAAGCTACAATCAGAAAAAACTCTAAGTCCTAAAACACACATTCAAAGGAAAGAAGGCATACATTCAAAAATACCGAAGGCATACACTCAAGGAAAACGGAGTCATACATTCAAGAAGAAAGGAATTGGAGAAAACAAGTCATATAAACACAGCCCGAAGGCAATCATTCAATCATCAACAAACAGAGGGCAAATGTGATTACGAATAAATGTTACAAGCAGGCCGAAGCCGAAGGATGAATAATGTCACCATTACAAATACATGTTTACATAATACAAAATACATATCAAATAATGTCATTCCCGGGGGCCGCCTCCCCCGATGGCTTCGAGGTGACTTCTGCGTCGGCCTCAGGTTCGTCGCCCTCGGCTTCTTTCATGAGCTCAGAGTCCTCCAGGTCTGGTCTCTCGACATCGGGGGGAAGAGGAACGCGGATGTCTGGCTGCAGGGGGGAGCCCATATGCTGCCGGGTCAAAGTCCTTTGGCTCGATCTTCAAGTGGCGAGCCATCCTCCGGTAGATGAGGGCTTGAGTGAAAAACTCGCCCCCATCATAGTATTGTTTACCCTTTCGGGAAACCCACTCCACGCCAGGCCCATCACACCACTCGTCGACCGAGGACTCGACGACCGAGGACAACCATTGCTTGTGCTCCTCGGACCGCCACCCCCCCTGCCAAGAACCCCGAGATTGCGTCCCCTCGGGCTCTCTCGACGGCTTCCACCTTCGCGGCCTCGGCTTCCTTGACAGCTCTCTCCAAAGCCTCAGCTGCGGACCTCTCGGCTTCTGCCCTACCCCGATCTGCGGCCTCCGCCCGCAGGGTCATCTGCCGAAGGCTCTCCTCCAGCATAGCCATCTGCCGAACAGCGTCTGCATTCTGGCGGATGAGCTCCCGCATCTTGGCCTCCTGCTCGGCCTTGCGAAGGCGCCACTCCTCTAGCCGCCGGGCTTGCTCCCCGAGGGCAATGCAGGTCTGCAAAAACAAAGGGGTTAGCGAGGCCAAACATGGTTTCTTGGCTCGAAGTAAAAAAGAAAGAAATAAACGTAAAAGACTTACTGTGAGGGAAGACCGGAGGATCCTGTCCTCGAGGGCTTCGTCTTCATCAGCCCCGAGGGCTACTCTGTCAATCTCGAGGGTGATGCCTCTCAGAAGCGCCCTCGGGTCGGCCGTACCGTTCATCACGGCCGTACCAGCCGGGAGGGAAACCATGAGGACCTCGGAAGATGGCCCCTGAACTCCCGGCGGCACTTTCGCCACCTGCATGTCCTCATTCGCCCCGGAGGCAGGGCCTTCATCAACAATGATCACCGGGGGGACTTTCTTCCCGGCATCCCCGGTCTTGGGCTTCTTGCCCTCGGGATCTCTGCCCGAGCCCTTCCTTTTGGCGGCAGCGGCAGCATCAGCACTTGGGCCCACCGACGGCCCCTCTGGTTTTTTGAAGAAGTCACCGGCGGGTTTTGGGAAACCGGCGTCCGTCCCCCTCGGGCCCTTGGAGGGTTTTTTCTTCTTCAGGTCTGCAAGGCCTCTGACGTTCATCATTTTCACTGGGACACCTGCAAAAAAAAAGGTATGGGGTTAAAATCGAGGGGTTACTGACCGAAGGCACAAAGAATAAAAAGAAAAAAAAAACACGAACAAGATAAGCTATGTGCTAAGATATGAAAACCGAGGGACCTCGTAGACTACCTCCTGTTCCCCCGAAGGCCTCAGCAAAAATGGGGTACTTCTCGTCCGCTTCCCCAATAAATCGGTATCTCCGAAAGCCGAGGGCGTAGAATCCCTTGTCGGCAGTATAGTCTTTGATGGAGACCTGCTTTGTGCAACCCTCCGGGATTTTGGCTATCACCAGGCCGTCTTTTTCGAGGGCGGCGCTTCCAACCTTCGGATGCTGACAGAAGCGATCCCGAAGTTCCGCCGGAAATGGGTTCTCAGCAACCCTGACATAGCACCAGCGCTCCTTCCAGCCCTTATTGGACGAAGGCGCCTCCGTGAACAGCTTCCACCTGGCCACCTGCTGCAGGTTGGCGAAGCCCTCGGCATTCGCGTGACCCCCTCGACAGAGGTTGAAGCTCTGGAAGAACAAGTCCATGCTGGGGGTCACCCCTCGGTCCCTACAGAGATTTAAAAAACCCGCCACGTAGGAGTGGCTATTAGGTGTCAGCTGGCAGGGTACCAAGCCAACAAACCTCAGGTACTCCCGGAGGAAGGGGTGCAGAGGGAACCGAAGGCCCATGGAGACCGACAGTACGTGTACTGCAATGCACCCCTCAGGCGCCCGAGAGAGCACGTCGTCAACTCCCGGCTCGACCACCTCGGCCGAGGGCCCTACATGTAGCTGCGTCACGTAGAGGTCCGCCCTGTCCGCCTTTGACTTTATCTCCAAGGCAGCCGTGTTGAGCCAGGAATACCCCTCCGGCATATCTACGGGTTTCCCCTGATCAGCAGCGATAACCTTCTTCTTGGGGACAGCTGCCTTGGCCTTCTTCTTCCCGGGGGCCACCCGGATGGGAACTGCATTCAGCGGCTGGGAAGTACTGGCCTCACCAGCACCCCGAGGGGGAAGGACAGCCGCAGTGACCTTCGCCCTCTCCTTTTCCTCCTCCTCTTTAGCAACTTAGACGGCGAGGGCCAACTCTTCATCCTCGGCAGTTCGCTCGAATTCCTCCGCCTCGGCCTCGGCCATCAGATCCTTCTGCACCTCAGTGGCGAGGGCTGCATCACCACCATCCGAGGGCTGACCACTGCTGGACTCCACGTCGGAGATGCCTTCGTCCTCCATTGAGGGCGTCCTCGAGATATCTTGAGAATCACTCTGGGACGACATTCACACTCTAGTTCGAGGGCTCATAGACGCTAATGTTTCCTAACTTTTCTATCTCCTAACCTAAGGGCACAGTACAGGTAGCTAAGAGATGAAGGGAAAGCGGGCACTGACCTTGAAAGCAGAAGTTTCGACCGAAGGCCTGATTTTCTCTCACTAGAATTTTGGGCAGAGCTTCGCTAAGACAAATGATCGCACAAGGGGAAATGGCTCTGGCCTTGGGGTATTTATAGGCACTGGAATCCGGGCTTGGGCCCGGAAACCGGGCCTCCGGACGGACCGTCATCATTACACACCGTCGTTTCACCCAACCGGTGACGCCGCCCACAAACAGCCAGCCATCACACGCCACGTGTGCCACCCCCCCCCCCCAACGGCTATATCCTGTCGTTACATATTCCAACGGCTATATTCCGGAAGCCCCCGGGTTTTCTACTTCACTCCACTTCATCAAGGATAGCCTCCGGGTGCACTCACTCAGAAGTGCCCCCGGGGTGTGCCCCACACAGCACATAACAGACGCCTTCGGGATCACTCCTTCAGAAACCCAAGGCTTCATATCAGGGCACCCCTCGGGAATTCCCCCTCAGCACTGCAAAACCGGGTAGCCCCCGGGGAGTTGCCTTCATTGACGGATAACCCGTCGCACACAGGTAATGGGAGCCCTCGGGTATCTTCATCGCCAACTAATCAACAAACAGTGGACCCCCCGGTAACAACTCCGCTGCCGCCCTCATCCAGCAGGCCCTCGATCCCCGGATTGAGGGGCTCCCCTTCGGCATCCCCAGGATATCAACGGCAAGCCTTCGGCTGATCAATACATGAGCCCTCAGAAAAAGAAGAGCCTTCGGCATTACCGTTATTCTCCATTTTTGACCAAGGTTTGACATTTTCGATTCATCATTGGGGAATTCGGTGCACTCTTTTTCCCTCATTAGGATTTTTCCCCCCAGGGTTTTTCCTAATGAGGTTTTTAACGAGGCATCCCCCCAAAATGAAACGAAAAACGTCAGCCTTCGGCCCACAACAGCAACACAACTACTCTACTCCTTTTCACCACTTTACAAGTGCCTTAAGGAGTGGGGGACTGGAGGACCCCCTCGGGAAAATCATTAAATTACAAAATTAGTGAAATTCCAACAAACGACAAGGCAAGCCCTCAAGTCCCGACATGTGGGTAACTGAGGGACTGCCTCCGGCAGGGACATAAGAGCAACAACTCCTCACCAACTTCAGAGATCACGATGGGACAACATCAAAGGGCAAGCACAAGTTACTCCTTTTCCCTCAAGTACCTTTCGGCAAAAGGAGTGAGGGACTCCTCATGGAGTATATGGCCCGGGAACCCCCGGCCCACAGACTCCTACTACTCCAGCGAAGGCCCAACAGGCCCAAAAGGCTCAACAGGCCCAGATCACAGCGCCCAGAGTACCAAGCAGCCCGCACTACGCGCCAGGGGCGCCTTCGGCCCCCTGGCCGAAGGCTCTAAACTCTCACAGGACGGGCTTCGCAAGCAAATTAAGAAACTGGGAGAAAACGGCGAAAACATTAGCCCTCGGCACTGTGAGCCCTCGGCACCAGAGTGCCATCGGTTGGAGGAGCCCTCGGCCATTGCTCTATAGCCGAAGGCATCTCACCCGACAAGATATCCGCCTCACATGCGTGCAGATCACCGTACCCTGCACAGACGTCCCATCCAACAGCCGCATTAAATGCGGCCACATGCGGCTGCCAGCGCCAACCAGTTGAGGTGACCCCTCGGCCAATGAGCGCTTGACACGTGTCCCTGTCCGGCATTTATTGCTACTATAAATAGCACCCCATTTCTTCATTTGTAACCACGCTGAAAACGGCATTCATACTGAATACACTCTCTCTCTACTTTTACTTACTTGCTCTGACTTCTCTCTAAGTTATTCCCCGTAATAACCCTTCGGATATACACCCCCGGGTAGACTATCCATCAACAATAATTTTTTGAATCAATATTAAAAAATATATCTTATGAATAAAAGATTATTATAACAACAACAAAATTCGGTACTTTTTTAATAGAAAAACTTAAATTTAATTTTTCAATTTTTAAAATTTACATTAGCTTGAATTGGTAAAGATTATTTGAAGAATCTAATTAAATTCATTATATCATAATGTAATGCTCTTTTCGTCCCCGAATTAAGTTCTTAGTTTGATTTCACATCGTTTTTGGTGGAATCTAATTATGTGTTAACTTTCCTTAAATACGCTTAGAGGGTAAACCGAAGCCCTCACGGTAAAATAGTGGGATGGGACTGTTGGGCATCCCATTTAATACATTGTACATTGGTGTGTGCATCCAAATGCAAATCATTTACCGTAATGGGGTAAACGACACAGTAATCAACATTGTTAGTGCACAAAATCAATTATTTTACACTTTGATTCAGAATTTGGAGGGATCCCTTATAAATTACATAGTATAACAAAAAATTGAAAAATTTTGAATTTTCCCTTCAATATAATTTTGAGCCATCTATAAATAGAACTATCTACACTAATAAAAACACAACTACATTGCCAGTCTTCATTAATGGCCACCACTACCCTTTTAAGCTTGCCACATATGCCTCCTTTCTAGTTAATTTCCAACGTACCTGCACATGCGGAAGAGGAGGTACAAATAGATGCAGAAAGGCAAGAGAACGTTCTGGCCCAAAGCAATGGCCAAAACTGACAAGTCCTAATACAAGGAGAATAAATTAAACACGGACGAACACAAGTACATTAAAGCTGAAATCGTACATATTAAGTTGTGGGGTTACAAAAACATGATGCTGGAGGAGCATAAATCATATGAGCATTTTCTGAAAATATGGATCCATGGATGTGATCATTAACTCTACTTCTCCTCTAATTGTAAGCAGTTTATATTTCAATTATAAGCCGATTTTCTTGGCTCGAGATGAAGGCACCTTTACACTGTATAAATTGGACTACTTTTCTTGTGTATTACATGTGGTATGATTTTGTTTGTGGATAAGCACTATCTGTAATCTGTGAGGCATTTTTGTGTGTGTATACTTTGTATGTTTGTTTTGTATGTTTACTTTGTATACAAATTGTGATTCCCTCAAACTAAATTAATGAGAGTAATGCTCTTTGATCCAAATTTTGTTTGATTTTGTGAATTTAGATTACAACGGGACTATTGAATACCATATGATGCAGGAGATTTTCTCTTGTTGAGAAGCAACAGAAAATAGATCATTTGTCTATGCTTTTTTTTTGTTAAAGATTGATCCTATATGAATGGGTCAAAATAATTAAGTTCAATCTGGCTATTTTTAACCACTGAAACAATGTAAATAAGTACATTGATAGATAGCTAATATCGAGATACCACTAGCGGTATCTATAGAGAATGCAGAACTAATAAGTAGGAGAGAGAGCAATCGTATTAAATGAACGGTGGTCCTTTACAACTGTCACAGTGCCTACTATTTATACTAGTCAT